GGCTTACATGATGGTATCTCTTCGTTATCCTTAGCGACAGAACTCCTGCAGTTTGTCTCCATCTGGTACGGTTGGCTGTACGAGAACATTGTACAATGGACTGCCGTGTAGCCGCTTTTATAAGACCAGCCCATCGTGTTTGTGATCGACCCGAGAACGAGTAATATTTAGTAGAAATAGAAATAATCTTTATTCAAATAAACTTAATATAAGCACTTTTGAATAGTCACATTTTTTTTCCATCCTACCACTCATTCGGAACGCAGAGTCATCACAAGAAGAATGAGAAAAAAAATTGTGTGTTTCTTTTAAGTAGATTTACATTAACGAGGATTAGGCATGCGACAATCAACATAGAAACCACTCAATCTTTGTTCAATCAGATAACATTTTCAGCGCTATGAATTTTAAATTCGATATTTTCTACAAAAATATTATTATCATTTATAAATTCTTCAATTTTATTAGAAGTTTTTTACAAAGGAAATGTTTTATAAGACTTTTGAATCTTTATTCTGGCAAATTGAGTTAATTAATAGATTTTAATTAACTTCAATATATAGGTAACTAAGCTGTACCCGCGGATTCACTTGCGTGAAATTCATAGCCCTTGTTACGTAATGTAAATTGGACTCTATTTTCCGCAATCAGACTTATATCGGGGCCGTTGTACGTGTAGAATCGAGACTAAAGCCAGCCAAGCTCCTCCCAAAAGCGTAGAAGTCTCCTGGTATCTTCGGCTACGGCTTCACGGAGCGACCTCACCATTCCTAAGATTTGTGTTCGTTGTGTGGCCACTGCAAGCACTCCAGGGTTAAGTGAGAGGCCGATTCTTCGGCTTCAAAGGAGCCTCGACATAGGGGACTGTCTGTAGCACCTATTATGTACAGGTGTTTGTTTAAGGAATTAGCCCGCATTGTCTCTTGAAGTATTTTGAGGTTTTGCCTATTTAGGTTTAGTAGGCGTTTTGCCAATCGTTGGTATAGCCTATGTATAAGCTATATTATTGTAAAGTTTCATCAAAATCCATTCAGTAGTTTGCGTGAAAGTGTAACAAACATCCATCGTTCCATCTACACTCAAAATCTACAAAATCTACCACGTTTATAATAGTAAAAATAAGATTTTTTTTACAGAACTGCACAGCACATCACGTTATCACGTGATAACGTGATATACTACATGCGTTGCCATTCCAGATGACTTAGATATCACGCCTATCTTCCTATAATTTCGTTGTAAATAAAATGTCGTAAATATCCTGATTACGTTGGTACGGTCACGTCATGAGAAGACCAGAAGACCATATGAGCCGAAAGATACTAAACGTCTATCCGAACAAAAGAAGCGTGGAAGACCTCGAGTTACATGGATGGCCGCTATTAAAAAAGACCTAACGCGTGAAATTTAGACCTATTGAAGATCCAGACACGAAGTCTCTGGAGAAGGATGACTAGGAGAGCCGACCCTAATTAAGATGGGATAAGGCCAGGACAGGGAGAGAGAGCGAGAGATCCTGTAATTTCGCTGCCTAACCTGCACCCTACAACTAGAACATACTTACTAAGCAAGCTGCTTGGCGGTTCAGATACATAGGTCAGATTTGTATACCCACGCAGACGACTTTTAACGAAGGATATCTCAGTTAAAAGTTATAATAGTTACTTTTATTTACAACATAATTATTTATAACTAGCTTTTGCCCGCGGCTTCACTCGCGTTATTTTATCCCCGTAGGGGTGGAATTTATCAAATTTCTTTCTTAGGGGATGCCTACGTCATTGTAGCTTTATGCATGCAAAGTCTCAGTCCGATCGGTTTAAAATTGGCAAAGTTTCTTGCAAACTTTCATCCCCTATTTTATCCCCTTGGGGGTGGAATTAATCAAAATCCTTTCTTAGCGGGTGCCTACGTCATAACATCTATCTGCATGCCAAATTTCAGCCCGATCGGTCCAGTGATTTGGGATGTGCGTTGATAGATCACTATGTCAGACACCTTTGAGTTATATATATATTTAGATATAAATAAATCTTACACAATAGTTTTAATTATAAACAAAATTATTATTTTAATTATAATAAAGAAAGAGAATAAAAGAAGGAAACAATATCATAGACAATTTTATTGTTTTTATACAATAATATCTTTAGACATATATTTGTTTATATAAATTAATCATACACAAATTTTGTATTAGGTAACTATTTAGAATTAATTAAATTAATTATACATTACTCATAAAATTAAATGTTGGACAACACAAATAACTATTAAAATGATTTTACATATGCATATACTATTTTGACGTCCTTGGTGGTCTAGAGGTTTAGCACACTTACTTCCGATGGTCGCGGGTTCGATACCTCGCACAGTACAAATATTTGTATTTATGAATATGATTGCTTGTATTGGTCTAGGTTTTGCCTATGAATATTATGTATACGTTTACAAAAAATAGGTGTTTCGGTTGTCTAGTACCCATAACAAGAGCTCTGCGTAGCTTGGGACTAGATGGCGCTGTCAGAATTGTCCACGGTTATTATTATTATTATAATTATTTATATATAATTTCACGTAACTGTTAGTCTAGATGACATAATTGGATACATTATCAAAGATCAGCGTGGGAAGGCCTCCAGCAAGGTGGACCGACGATCTGGTCAAGATCGCTGGCAGGCATTGGATGCGAGCAGCGCAGGACCGATTGTCGTGGAGATCTTTGGGGAAGGCCTATGTCCAGCAGTGGACGTCTTCCGGGCTAAGATGATGATGGTGATGATGATGATTATCAAAGATCATCCTGCGATACAATATCCCCTGAACTATGGTAGTTGATGCATAGTGAATTCAATATGTTGAACAAACCTTAATTTTAATCCCATCATCTCCTGACGACCTCGGTGGTCTAGCGGTCTAGCACACCACTACGTCCGATGGTCGCGGGTTCGTTTGGCACGACACAAAATTTATATTCATAAGTATGATTGTTTGTATCGATCTGGGTGTTTTCTGTATATAATATGTATGTATTTACGAAAAAAAAACCTATGTATTTGTATCAGTCGTCTAGTACCTACAACACAAGCTTTAGCTAGTTTAACTTGGGACTAGATGGCGTTGTGTGAATTGTCCTGAGATGATTATCATTGTCCACTGACGCTTTACCAGCGTAGATTCAAGCGCAAGCGAGGTCACTATTATATCATCAATAACAAATAACTTAGATATATACTTCACATAATTAACTTAGATATTACCACGTTTTGTTTACGTTTAACTAGCTATCCGCCTACATGTATTATATATATATAAACCTTCCTCTTGAATCACTCTATCTATTGCTGGAAACTGCATTAAAAATGGATTTTAATGCAGTTTTCAGCAATAGATAGAGTGATTCAAGAGGATGGTTTATAAGCACAACAAGCAACAAGCGTAGTTGAAAAGATCTAAGCGTACGGACATCAGAAGCGACTGCATTTTATACTATGTAACTATACGGCGACGGCAATAATGGTGTTTCTAAAAACAAACCAAAAGGTTGAACTCTCCGGAAGTTTCGAGAACTCAATAAAAATAAATAAAACCTGGTAAGATCTAGTGTTGTTCCTAATTTTACATATAAATAATGACCGCGTCATATACAATTAAGTATACTTATGTCACTCCTCGACAACCTCGGTGGTCTAGCGGTCAAGCACACCGCTTTACGACCGACGGTCGCGGGTTCGATTCCTCGCACGGCACAAACATTTGTATTCATGAGTATGAATGTTTGTATCGGTCTAGGTGTTTTCTATGTATAATATGTATGTATTTACTAAAAAAAATATTTATGTATATATATCAGTTATCTAGTACCCATAACACAAGCTTTAGATAGCTTAACTTGGGTCTAGATGGCGCTGTGTGAATTGTCCTGAGATTATTATTATTATTATGTCACTAACCTTTACATTAATTTATCAAGTTCAGAGATCCAATAAAATAATATTAAATTTCAAATTTCCAGATCATTTTAGTCCTTAATACGAAAGTTGGTTAGATATATTTATTTATTGGGACAACCAACAGCTATGTCAGTATATATTAAACCAGCTGAATTTATCTGCGTCGTAATTTTCCCGTTTTTGCAACGCATTTAATTGCAGCTCAGCACCTATTTGTCGTAGCGTGATGATATATAGTGAATAATATTCCTCAATAAATGGGTTATGTAACAGTGAAATAAATTTCAAAATCGGTTCTATAAATCCTAAGATGACATGTTATAACCTGTGCGGTTATAACTAACTTTTTATAATATTATTAATCATAGATAACACAGTTCTGATATGGATAAATTTGTTGCACACTCATCAATATTTTTACACCTATACGTATTCACAGAAAGACAAAAATTGCAAAAATAGTCATGGATGTATCAATAAATATGATAGATTATTCCCTTCCTAGTGAACAAGGAGACAGGAGTGGCGACAGTAGCCCCTAGGTCGCTAATGGGCCGGAGTAAAGTCTGCAGGACTGGTTCCACCCCACCGCACTAGACCTGAAGAAGTCACACACGTCCCCTTCCCCAGGGAAGAAGTAGGTTCCAATGAGATCTCATGATTACAACAAAGTCACACGTCCCCGCGCCTTCCCCAGGGAAAAAGTAGGCAGAAATGGGTTCCAATGGGAACCGCAGAGATGGATGATGTAGAGTTTATTAGATTTCCTCAACTCCGGCATATGGAGATATCTTCTAGTGAATAGGAGTTTCACAGTTCCTGTTTGCCTTTCCATTCTCTTCTAGAGTGGGCCACCGTCGTTGGAATCGCGGTGAACTGTCATTCGACCATGACTCAAAAATATTGGGACATCAAGTAGCTTTTAGTAGGTTTCACAGTACCCGCTATCCTTTCCCGGGGCGAGCAGGTCTCCATGAGTATTTTCTCCAAGTAAAAATAATGTTTACATTAAATTAATATAACTTTGACTTATGGAGTGACGTCACGAGTGTCGAGTGTCACCTGTGCCGGTTGATCACGGAGTTGCACATGTCACTACTCTGTAACAAATAAAAATATATATTATACCATCTGACACACGCCACCTATGCAACCGCGTGGAGCTCGACCTACCATAGTACGTTGCTTGCAATGTCACTAGCTCACTACTTCCTATTACTAACAATCCTTCTCCCCCGGAAAGAGATAGTAATGGGGTCCCTTACTCTTTCACGTAAAAACTATTGTACGGTTTTTAATGAAACTTTATGGTAATATAGCTTACTAGCTTTTGCCATCTGCTTCATTCGCATTGAATCTTTTTTATAAAAAATGTTCTATTTTTTTAAAATAAATATTATATTAATAAGTAAGTATCTGTTACTTATGTAATATTGTGTTATCTGTGCTGTTACTGGAGCAGGAACACAACTACTCAACATCATCATCATCTGCTTCTTCCTTATCCCATTTATTTGGGGTCGGCGTAATATGTTTTTCGTTTCCATTCATCCCACATTTTTACTAGTATTTAGTTTTATTAAAATAGCAGGAACACAACTACTATTTTAATAAAACTAAATACTAGTAAAAATGTGTAGTTTTCCCAAATGGGCTCACAGCGAAGTAACAAAACAATATTAGTCAAAACTGACATAAAAAATAGATATCAAAACTAAAAAGTTATAAAAAAAATGGTAGACAAGCTGCCAGCAACAGTGACCTATGTTCATTCTAATACCTCCAAGAACATGTGCACAAAACTGTTACCAATACGCGATACGATTAAATGTCAATACACTTAAAATTCCAAGTCATAATACAGCTGCATTTAGGGGAAGTTTTAAATATGCAGCCACTCACTGCTGGAATAACATACCACCACCTATTCAAGATCTAAAATCAATTCACACTTTTAAACGACACCTAAAAAAATACTTCATGCAGGTACAAAAATCAATCTAGGCAAAAATACATTACCACTTTATATATCTGTATCTTTATATACCCTCTCCTGTATCTCTTTTATTTGACTGTATTTATATCTATGAGCTGAGTTTCTTGTCAGTTCTTCTCATCTCGATATCATTCCGAACTGAAGGTAGATTTGACATATCATAAGAGTCTGTAATAGACCTACATGAATAAAGATATTTTGAATTTGAATTGAATTTGAATCTATTATCGCCTTGTCATTTGTGTACTATCTCTATTTTAGCTAAATGTGTATTTATGTACATATATCAATTTATATCAATTTATTATATATTAAGTATTGTATCATATCATAAATCGTGTACAACACGGCAATACACCACCCCAGGTCTTGTGCTGAAAAACAGCGTTGCAGCGCTCCAGCCGCTGCAGCATTATGCTGAGCACGGACCTATTCCGTGGATGCTTCGACAGACATACACATGCACGCACACTCGCACATACGTAATTTGTGTACTGTTATTTGTATGTAATTGTTCGCACTATTTGTTATTCTATTTTTTGTTTGTTTAATGTGTGTTTTAGTTTTCTACTGAATAAATATCATTTCATTTCATTTCACAAAATTTCATGATGATCGCTTTAGTAGTTTTCGCGTGAAAGCGTAACAAACATCCCTACATCCACATTTATAATATTAGCATACAACTAGTATTAAATATAAATTAGTAACTTCATTGTTTTACATTTAATATAACGAGTATTCTTCGTTCATTTAATATTATTAACTATGTTTCCTGTTGATACGGTACAAGCGTTTGTTTCTTCATTGTGTTTTGCTCTAACTACCTACGAGGAGCAAGTTTAAATATTATCGAGGCTACGTCCTTATACATATTTCTTTATTCATATGTTTAATTCTATACTTAATATTAATAATAACGATGATGATGATGATGATGATGGTGATGGTGATGATGACAGACAATCGGCCGGGATTACATCATCCTCATCACTTAATATTAATAATTATAACCCTGGACTATACACTATTCCCAAACTAAGCAGAGCTTGTGTTATGGGTACTAACTGATATACTTAGATATTTTTTTTGTAAATACATACATAATATAAAACAGAATGACTGATACAAACAATTACAATTAATAACAAAACTGGTTTTGTCATTAATTGTAATTGTTTATATCTAATATACTGCATACTATATATATATATATATAACTACAAGAGTAAGTAGTATATTATCTACTCTACCACTATTTAATCTAATTACGTATAATTTCTACATCGCGGTGGCAAGATATTTTTGCATTATGTCTTAAGTTATAGCACGTTTGCACGTTTCCGGTGAAGCCCCCTTCCGATCGATCCCCCGTCCAATTCAACGGGGATCGATGTTACGACGGCCTGAGCCGAGGTTCGAACCCCTAGTGGTGCCCTCAGACTAAAGTCGTATCCGTCAGGCGGGAGTTGGCATTCAGCCGCAGTAGTCCCAAAAAAAAATGTAGAGGGATGAGAATATTCTTACTACGGAATCTAGTACTATCTTTGGGTTTCATTTACCATTAGGGTTTAAGATCTAGTACAGTTCTGATCTCTCTAGTACAGTAAATAACCACATTTTCAGGACTAATGGTCATTGTTGCGGAATAAATCTTAATATTAGTATTATAAAAGTTTGTAAGTATGGAAGTTTAGTTACTATTTCACGCAAAAACTACTGAACGGATTTTGATGAAACTTTACAGTAATATAGTTTATGCATCAGAAGAATTGCGACTTTGAAGTGGCAATGGGCAGGGCACATAGCTCGTAGGACAGATGGCCGTTGGGGCAGTAAAGTCCTCGAGTGGCGACCACGGACCGGAAGACGCAGCGTGGGAAGGCCTCCAGCAAGGTGGACCGACGATCTGGTCAAGATCGCTGGAAGGCATTGGATGCGAGCAGCGCAGGACCGATCGTCGTGGAGATCTTTGGGGGAGGCCTATGTCCAGCAGTGGACGTCTTCCGGGCTGCGATGATGATGATGATCAGAATAACACATAGGCTATATTTTATATTGAAATTTAACGCGAGTACAGCTAGTGTTATATATACTTGTAGTTATGTAGTGTACTTGTACAATGGCGTGCTCTCCCAAATGCTGCCAATAATTCTCATTCAACTATTAAGGGATATTTCGTGTTTACCCACTAATTGCCCATTGATTACAAAACATATCCGCTTAACTGGCTAAATCAATATTCTCATTTACGGATTTTTGTTTATTTTATTTCTTTATTTCACTACTAGGCCCATATTATAGATTAACATACATATGAAATAATGTTATAAAATTAAGATATTGAAATTGTTTCTGTGGTCACGGCACTGACGACGGCAATCTGCCACTGTAGCGCTGATACACCACACCCTTCGGCCAGTAGTGTTCCTTCATGAAGGTGGGCAGCATGGTGGGAACCCGGACCACAAACGCCTTGAAACTCGCGTTGTGGCTCGACTTCAGCTGCGTCACCCTCATTGTCAGGTTATTTTTGGTCTGTATATTTTCTTTTTCGGACTACTCTAAATCTGTTGGCCGCAGCTGGCGTTTACAGCTTCACCGGACGATAGGGAGCGAGTGCAGATGGCACTCCAAACCAAGGAAGGACTTATGGAGCGGCTGAAGGCCAACTCCTGCCTGACGGATACGACTTTAGTCTAAGAGCACCGCTAGGGGTTCGAACCTCGGCTTAGTACGTCGTAATATCCCCGTTTGAATTGGACAGGGGATCGATCGGAGGGGCGACCGGGGGCACCAGTGTGGAGCATAAATAAAATATTATTATTATTATCTGCTCTTTGTCTTCATTTATAAATTTAAAAGAAGGTAATACTCACACACGGGCCTTAGAATGTGGGAGAGGTTGTGCTGTGTTTATTAAGTATTAAGATGTTATTGAGGAAGTCAAGAATTTTCGAGTTATGCGTTAAGTATTTAGTATTCTGGTGTTTTATATATTATTATTATTATTCTAGTACTTCAATAATTACCTACTTTCGGCAATCGATATCTGACAAGTAAAAATGTTTAAATATAAATGAAAATAATGATCAATCTATGCATATAAATAAAATTGGAGTGTCTATTTGTAATATTGAAATAGTTTTTTACTACATGCATATGAATATAAATACGGTAATACACCAAAATAACATTTTTTACAATTTTTGTCTGTCTTTTTGTTCCTGCAAATCTCTGAAATGGCTGGATCGATTTTAACGAGATTGCTTTTGGCAGGTAGCTGATGTAATAAGGAGTAACTTAGGCTACTTTTATTTTAGAAAATAAGGTTAAATTCGACCGCGGACGAAGTCACGGGGACAGCTAGTTAATAATAATGAAAGATGACATATGTGTATAATCTAATCTAGTTATATATATTATGATAACCAGGAAATACCTAATAAAACGAAAGGTATACCATATAGAGTGTGATAATGAAACAACATTCTACTAATATTAGTCATTGATAAGTATATTTTATTGGAAACGTCATTATATTTAATATCAGACCGTCTTGACCTAGTGGATAACGCGACTTAGGCTTAAAAGGTCGTGAATTCGATTTATGTATTTATATGAGCATTGCAATCTATAATTTTACAATTGTTAGGTTTATATTCTTATAAAATCTATCGTTTAAATATGTCTGAAAAAAGATTTAAACGTCATATAAAACACTTTACTATATAATTGAAGAAATAGAAATAGAAATAATATTTATTCAAATAAACTTTATATAAGCACTTTTGAATAGTCAAGTTTTTTTTATTCTACCGCTCATTCGGAATGCAGACTCATCACAAGAAGAATGTGCAAGAAACTTGTGTGTTGTTCTTTTAAATAAATTCGTTCGTTAACGATAATGAGGTTTTGTAGAAAAAATTAAAATCCATAGCGCTGACAATATCATCTGATTTCACTCAGAATGAGTGCGTAGCGGTTTCTATGTTGATTATCGCATGCCTCTTACTTGTTATACTGTCATTATTTATATATATAAAGAAACATCTATTCAAAATAGCAACACACAAGTTTCTTGCTCATTCTTTTTGTGATGAT